AACGCTTAATCAAAACAAAACCTCCAAGCCTGGCCAGGTCCCTTTTGTTTCTGAAACCAAAGCCCTGCGACACATTCATTGCCACCAAATTGTTGTGACATCAAATCCGGAAAACAGGATTTATAACTCCTGCAGGGGAAAACCAAGTCATGAAACAGACTAGGCTAAACCATGCTGTGGTTGGGCACAATGCCCGCCTGCTCAGGGCACCATCTCCCCCTGTAGGAGCTGAGGGCAGGATTCTCACACCCTGCTGCAGCTTAAATAGCAGACTGCCCCACTGTAGCCAAAGCTGCTCATGTCTGCTCCCTGAACTGCTACTCACCCCAAATAAAGCTGACTCCACTGCTTTGCCTATAATGGGATGTCTGTTCTTATGTATGTTTATTACATGCATATGTATACACACACACACACATCTATAATGTGATATATAGTATACTATATATAATAATACACTATAATATATAATTGTCTGTGGCAGTCCCTCAGTATGAGGACTTCAATCTTGCACTAGATAGGGAAATCATGAGGGATTAGTCCAGAGGTGACTAAATACAGCATAATACAACACATAAAACTCAGCTACATACCCATGGTATATATAGGCATATAACAGACACACATATATAATACATATAGCATAATACATCATATATCATATGGATTATTAAATCACCCCATCTGTGTTGTAAACTATTAATTTACATATATACACATATACATTACAATATGGGGTGGCAGAGTAGCTACCATGTGGAAAAGTAAACTGGCTTTCTGTCGTCTCTTCGGCTCTTCCATGTGAGTCCTTTCCAAAGTCTATAGTCTGGCTGGAAAAGAATTCTTCCCTGTGCAAGAGCTGAGCCAGACATTGCAAACTACTTTCCAAGGATCCATAGTCAAGCCCTTGCTTCAGAGTACACTGGAATATACAGCTGATATTGATTCTATACTATTTGCATGCAGGTTAAGGCATGCATGTAGTACTGTGTCCCTGGTTTAGACAAGCATGATCCTCTCCTGAGCAGACGATTGGACTACATGACCTCTTGAGGCCACTTCTAGCACTTGCTTTCTGTAATTGGCAACTGCACCTACTGAAGGGTTCTGATACAACTGTGTCTGTGGTTGAAAAACCCCAGTCCAGATAAATCCTTCACCTCTGGGACTGTCCAATTACTTCCCTCTCCTTCTCCAGAGTATGTGCAGGAGTGGGAACACTGTTGTGAATTATGGTGTTATACACTGCAGACTTTAGTTGCCTCTTAAAGTCTTTCCAGATCTCATTCTACACACTCCATAATCACTAACACTAATCATGGAACTAGCATTAGCATGTTTCCCAAACAAATGAAACCACAGGGAGGCTGCTTCAAACTCCCCAAACTAATGCAGCAAGTGGTGATAAGGTTTGCTTTAATGGGAACATAAACTTTACAAGACCTTCAAAAGTTTTGCTCCTTTAAATTCCTTTTCCCTGTGCAATAAACAATTTCCGCATGGTTTTATCCCTACTACAGATTCCTATAAAGGCTGAAAACAATTTGCATTTCTCAAATGTGTGCACATTCTAGAAATTTTATAAGAGTTTGTTATCAAGTACAATAGCTTCAAGATTTAAACACCAGGAATTGAAGCCATTAAGAAGATACTGATATATTTGTTCGAAAAATGAATCTGAAGGGCAGATATTTTTATTAATTTTATAATCATTTCTTGAAACAGAACCAAGTTAATAATCTGAGCCAACAGCATACAAATGAGATATGTCTTAATGTCATGTTATCTCATATTCTTATTAGACTGTTGGATATTACATTCTTTTGTGATTAGGACCAGAGGGCTCAGCTTGTTACAAAGAAAGATATCAGTAAAAATACTCATCTCTTTAATAAAGTCTATTTTGAGAAGATAATTCAGGATCACACAGAGCTAAACACTCTATATAAGCAGTACCCAAGTGGCAGGTTAAAATATAGTTGAGATTTACTAAAGCACAGTGGGGATGGAGCAAATAATCTTTATCAAATTCAAAGCCATCTTTTCTTTAACCAGGTGCAAATTGAGGAAGAATCAGAACTAATTGATATCTAACCCAAATACAAAAGGGGATTTATTGAATTATATCACCTTTAGCCTGTCTTTAACCTTTTAAGCCTTTCCCCCCCCCCCAAGTACCTATTGAAAAATATTTATAATGATACAATAGATCAAAGTTATTCTAATGATTTAAATACAAATGTTATTACCTGTTTACAAAGGCTTAGACTGGATTCAGCAGCCTTAGCATAGGCAAAACTCCCATTCAAAACTGTGGTGCTCAGATAATATAACGTCTAGTTCTAACATGCAATTCTGCACTTGTAGATCTCAAATTCCTTTACAAAGGATAGGTAGTAACTTACCCTCAATTTATAGACAAAGAAACTGAGGTACAAGGGTGTAGAGTTGCCAAACAATTCTATGAATAGTAAATGATACTGATATAAGATGTAATATTGCAATTGTTTTGTCTAGATAACCTGCAGTGCAGTGATTCTCACACAGGGTGCCATGAGACTTTTTTAAGGGTGTCACCTAATAATTAGTGCTGATCAGTATGCAAACACCTACTTGTGATTCACAATACTAAACCCAGATATTTCACACACAAATCCATAGCGTTGAAAACATTCTGTCCTATCTCTGCAATAAAATAATTGCTTTATTACTTTTCTGTAGTATAAAAAAATGAGTGGAAGTGAAGAGGTGGCATTTTCTGAAGTGTGTTTAAATTTAATGGGTAGTGCCTTGAGTCTAAGACGTGGTGCCTTAAGTCTAATGAGCAGGGATCCTGGTTTTGTCAGATTTGAAAAAATCCCCAATTTTCAGTTAAAAAAGTAAACCCAAATCCATATTTTCCATGATTAAAATGAAACACCACTAACATAGAGAGCTATATATTAGTGGTGTTTCTATATATTAGCGGTGTTTCACTTAAATTGTGGAAAAATGTGGATTTGGGGTAACTTTTTTAACTGAAATTGGGGATTTTTTCAAATCTGACAAAACCAGGATCCCTGCTAATGACATTAAGACTCACTGCTGTAGCAATACAAATGTATCATTATTGCTATCTTACCCTCCACTGCAAAAAAAAAGTTGCTCAGGGATGTAGGGGGATGGTTAGGAAGGCCAAGGCAGAGATGGAACAGGGGCTGGCTTCCCGGATTAAGGACAACAAGAAGTCCTTTTTTAAATACATAGGGAGTAGAAAGAAGGCCCCAGGAAATGTGGGGCCCTTGCAGGACAAGACGGGGAATCTGGTTGTCACGCCAGACGACAAAGCCAACATA